AAAGCCTACAATTAGAGGAGGCGCTTACAGGTTGCCCTCTGGTAAATCCTGGCTGCCCTGCTGGGAATAAGGTCGCTCCTCCCCTCCCTGGCCTGGAGCCATTTGGACCCTGAGAACGGGACACCAGAAGCCATCCATCCCTTTCCTTTTGGCCCTCTTCGCTGGGAAGTCTGGGAGTTGCTCTCAACACACCTGCAGGGCAAAGAATTGGAGCAGGCAGCGCAGAACAGGCCGATCTTAATATTCTTTGCAAATATTAAGGTGAGACTTCCTGTCTTCTCCAGGTGTGGCTCTCAGATGCCATTCAGGTTCTTGTAGGGCTGCCTGCCAGATCTTTGAGCTATGTTTTGCAATGCTTTGCTTAAACAATATCCCATGGTGGAGAGATCTACAAATTGCCTGCCAGATTTCCGTAAGAGAGTGGGGGGGGAACGTTTTCCTTACAAGCCGATTCATCTTAGTACTTGCAACAATAAGAGGAAGGGAGATCAGTGTGACTTGGAATTGAAGAGGCTATAAGCCTATGGAAATAAAGAAATATAGTGTATAACTAATGAATAAATTCTGGGATGTAAGTTCTCTCTCTTGTATGATCTTTGGGACAGGGTTAACCTGCTGCTGTTGCCCCTCACTTCAGCCTCCCTCCACAGGTACATCATGAAGGTGCCTTCCCATAAACCAGACATTCAGACTGTTCAGGTGCTCTGAAATTAAACGATTTGCAGTCCAGCTTCGATTAGGGAAGGTGCAGGGGTGGGATTCAGCCGGTTCGGTGAGAGTGCGTTTTGCGTGCGTGTGCATCATTTGCAAAAAAAAAAATCATCAGCTGTGCCACCCGGACAGCTGACAAGCGCTGTGCGCGCGTGCGCAGCCTTTGAAAATCCTCTTCTTTCCTCCCTTTTCAACCTCAGCTGTGCCGCGCAAAGCACCTGAGGCTGAAAAAGCAGGAAATAAAGGACAGCCAAGAGCCCAGGCGGGCGGGTGGACCAAATGGTGAACTGATTCGGTGTCAGCTGCTTTTCGGAGCTACCGGTTCTATAGAACTGGGCCGAACCGGCAGCATCCCACCCCTGAAGAGGTAGTAGCTCCATGGCTGGGATTGGATTTCTATGGCCTACAGCTTAAAGTGCATGGGAGACTGCAAGGAAATTGCAGCCCAGGAGTAAGGAGACCAATAGGAGCACCTAAGGAGTGGGTCGAGGAAGAAATATCCAAAATTAGGATAGTTGGAGGATGGAGGTTCGTTCTCCAAGCTTGTGGGTTGGATTCCGAACATTTCGTTACCAGGCTAAGTAACACCTTCAGCGGAATTTAGGGAAGTGCCTAGAGTAGGGTGTCAAACTCAATTTCATTGTGGGCCGCATCAGGGTTGTGTTTGACCTGGGGGGGTCATGGTCAAAGTGGGCGTGGCCAGCTCGACATCATTCATGTTGGGGGCACCTGGGGCAGCCCAAGTGCTCTGCCAGCGAAAACGGGCTCCCAAGCTCCGTATTTGGCTGTGACGACCTCCTGCAACCCTCCGCCAGAGAAAACGGAGCTCTGGAGGGCCCCCTGAGCTTCATTTTTTGCTGGCAGAGGCACCGCGGGCCGGTCCTTTGCTGTTTCCTGGGCCAGATTTAAACACTCCGTGGACCAGATCTGGCCCCTGGGCCTTGAGTTTGACACCCCTGGCCTAGAGTGTGTCTTAGGTGCAGAAGGCAAATCTGGACCTTGGCTTTGAGGTAACCAGCCAGGTCTTGGTCTGCAGATTTCTGATGTTTTGTTCCGAACATTTAGTGTTACATAGGCACCACATCTTTATCTCTTCCTTCTTGAGGGCTTTTTAAAGATGCTTCTAAGCGGGGAGTTAGACAAAGCAATTTCCGCCCTTCCAATATTTTTGGTCTGAGCTGAAGTAAGTCTTCTTGGTTCATCTTGATTCTCCAAGACACCCATTGTGGGTCACTGGGGCCCAGGAAAGAAACCTTTGTAGGAGGTTTTCCTTGTTGGATGGCGATGTTCTGACCTAGGCTTCCTTAGAAAGCATCAAACACAATCTTAGTTCCTCTTTTATTTCCACGGCTGTGAATTACGTCCATTCACAGCCAGCCAGGCTTCCCAAACCGTCTTTCAGGGGAATGTTTATAAACACCCGCCTTATCGCAACTTGGAATGCTGCCAGAGAACTAATTGCCAGGCGCAGGGCAAGGCCAAACACGACACAGAGTCAAGCAGAACTTTTCAAAGCTTGAACCGACCAGACGAACTAATTGCTTCCTGCAAAAACTCATGTCCTGTTCGCTTCTCTTTTATGTCCTATGGGCCAATCATCTCCTAGGTGTGGCCTTACTTCTCAGTTGACCCTGCTTTCTCAATTGTCTTCTGGTAGCCCTGTGTATGCGCAGGCCGGGAGCCGGTTCCACAAACTCCCTCGCCTCACTGCTGTCTGAATCTGAAGGGAGCTGATGACTGCCAGACTGCCCTGGCCCCATCCCTGCCTCTAATGCTGAGCCTTCCTCAGCCTCCAAGACTGGCCCAGGTTCCTCTCCAACCTCACTACTGTCCGACTCTGCTGCCAGTTCCGTCAGCCACCAGCGGGCCACAACAGGAGATGTTAGGATCAATTGGCCCTTTCTGGTGGGAGAACTGCTTTGCTACAGCCTAATCGGCAGGCTACAGAGGCAAGCTACCACAGAGTTGCTTCGAGGAAGAGGGTCACCAAAGCAGGGAAAATAGGAAATACGACTTCAGCAACAGAGTGGTCAATGTCTGGAATACTCTACCTGACTCTGAGGTTTCTTCCCCAAACGCCCAAAACTTTAACCTTAGACTGTCTACTATTGCCCTCACCCCTTTCCTAAGAGGTCTGCAGGGGGCGTGCATAAGCGCACCAATGTGCCTACTGTCCCTGTCCTATTTTTTCTTTTATTTTTCTTATATGTATCCATGTATTCATAACTATGTTTTTACTTATACCTATTATCTTGTAAGCAATTGACAAATAAAAATAAAATTAAATAAATAAAACTAAATTAAAACCTCTCCAACCTGAGCGATGGTCACTGCATGCAGGAAAATGTGTTTACCTGCTTGGTTAAACTTGAGTTCTGCTTTGAAAACAGAGAAAGGCTTGGCAATTTACGTACAGCTCTTTTTATGTTCAGCCCCAGCCTTTTTATACAATACTTATTCCAAATTATATTGCACTGAGTTCAGTGCAATAGAGTTTCAGATTTAGATTGAGTATCCAAAAAAATTTCCTATTTGATTGCAAGGAATGTCCATCAGTGACAAAATGGTTTCACTGGCTTGCACTGATGGAAGATTTTTAGGTAAGTAGGGATGACCATGAATTAGACTGTCATTTAGCCTGTATGGAGTTCTTTCCTGGGTTACATTTTTAGAGAATGAGATGCAACTGTTGAAATAGCTGACAATTAGGACAAGTACTCTAGAGCAGTGGCCCCCAACCTTTTTTGTGCCACGGCCCGGTACCAGCATCACAAAATGATCCGCGGCCCGGTACCGGCATCAGCACGCATGACAAGGCAAGGCGAACCGAGCGACCGGCCAGCCAGCTATCCCCCACTTCTCCCCGCCACCTTCAACTCTTCCTTTGTACCTTTGTCGATGGGCTTTGCTTCAGGACGGCTTCGGGACAGTCGCTCGGCTCACCTTGCCTTGGGTGCTGAAAGAATCCTTGCGCCTTAGTTTCGTTCAAAGCCCCCCCCTTCTATGAAACTAAGGCGCGAGGATTCCTTCAGGACCCAAACGCCGCTTTCCAACCGGAAAAGCTCACCCAGAAGCACTTTCTCGTCAAACAAGACTTTCCGGTAGGAAATGTTCCGCGGCCCGGTGGTTGGGGACCCCTGCTCTAGAGCAGGGCTCTCCAACCTTGGCAACTTTAAGACTTGTGGACTTCAACTTCTCAGTCAGCTTTGCTGGCTGAGGAATTCTGGGAATTGAAGTCCACAAATCTTAAAGTTGCCACGGTTGGAGAGCCCTGCTCTAGGACGGGGCTCCCCCAAACCCCCAGTCAGTAGCTAACTACCGGGCCGCAGCCAGTTCAAAACCAGGTTGCGTGAGCGATGAGCATCAACTGTGAGCATGTGTGAAGCTCCACTCACGTGAGTGGCGGGCCCTTTCATGCAAAGCTCCACTTGTGCAAAGGCGCTTGTGTTTGCGTGCAAAGTTCCATCCATGAACACTCTGCTCAAGTGACCGCCACTCACGTGAGTGGAGCTTTGCGCGTGAGTACAAGTGCCCTTGGCATGTGTGCGAAGCTCCATTTGTGTAAGCAGAGAGCGCGTGCACCTTACACACACACACACACACACACACACATACCACTGGGCCGCAAATATGGCAAGGTTGGGGACAGCTGCCCCAGGAGGTCAGTTCTGGCAAATATTCTATTTGAATTGTGGTGGCGCAGTGTTTAGAATACAGTACTGCAGCCTACTTCTGCTGACTGCCAGCAGTTTGATTCTCACCAGGCTCAAGGTTGACTCTGCCTTCCAGCCTTCCGAAGTGAGTAAAACGAGGACCCAGATTGTTTTGGGGGGGGGGCAATATGCTGACTCTGTAAACCGCTTAGAGAGGGCTGTAAAGCACTGATGCGGTATATAAGTGTAAGGGCTATTGCTGTTTCAGTTGTTGTGCCACGCGGCTTCAGTTTATTGCATAGTTCTTATATGCCGAAGTGGAACGAAAGGCAGGCAGGCAAATACACTGCAATTGCAACACCTTGGCGAAGTCAGAGCGAGCATCCGCACAAGCTAAGAGGGTTGGCAGGACTGGGTCAGCTCCTTCCAGGCCAGGAGTTTGGCCACATGGTTGTGGCTGCCATCTTGACTTTTTGACTCCTCCTCCTGTCACCCAGCCAAAAGGAAATAATGGCCTCAGTTTCCTTTTGGCATCAGTGGAATATTAACCTTTTTTTTTTTTAAGTCTCTGTTTGCAGGGGTTAGGGGAACGATCCGTCGATTTTTCTAGTCTCTCCCTCTCCCTTCTTTCAAAAGGACTTCAGTCTTTTATATGAAGAAGCCAAGTATTACCAGCTGCAGCCGATGATCAAAGAACTGGAGCGATGGAAGCAGGAGAAAGAGCAACAGAAACATTTCCAGCCCTGTGACTGCTTGGTGGTGAGAGTGACGCCGGATCTCGGTGAGCGGATCGCATTGAGCGGGGAGAAGGCGCTGATCGAGGAGATCTTCCCAGAGACGGGGGATGTGATGTGCAACTCGGTGAATGCTGGCTGGAACCAGGACCCCACCCACGTCATCCGCTTTCCCTTGAACGGGTACTGCCGGCTGAATTCGGTGCAGGTATTGCTGCCTTTCCACCTTCCTCTTTTTTTCTTGGCAGAGGAATCCACTCTGCTTTTGTGTCCCTCCATCCAGTGCCCAACCGGCAACATGGTTTATGGCAGGGGGTGTCAAACTCAAGGCCCGCGGGATGGATCTGGCCAGCAGGGTGCTTCGATCTGGCCCGCCGGCCCGCCCTGGACTGGCCAGCGCTGAAGTGGAGCTCGGGCGGGCCATGTGTGGCCCTCCCAGGCCCTGTTTTCAGCCACGATGGCCTCCTGCATCCCTCTGCCAGCGAAAGTGGAGCTCGGGAGGGCCTTCCCAAGCCCTGTTTTCACTGGCAGAGGGATGCAGGAGGCCATCATGGCTGAAAACAGAGCCTTGACGAGTGATGTCAAACTGGCCACGCCCACCCTGGCCACGCCCCCTCCGCCCCCCTGAGGTCAAACACAACCCTGATGCGGCCCTCAAAGGGATCCAAGTTTGACGCCCCTGGTTTATGGTGAGCTCATGCACGGTTCAGGGTTTTTTCCACCCCTCTCCTTTTCCTTCTCTCTTCTTCTTTCCCCTCCCAAGTTCAAGCAGGAGGAAAAAAAAATAGATTTAGATTTTGTATATGTTAGCACCACGCTGATCTCATAACAAATGCTAATTTTTTTTCATCATCGCATACCCTGCAGCAGCCTTCTTTTTTTCCCTTCTCCGTTGCCCCTAGGAAGGAGGAGGGGGAAGAAAAGGGGGAAAAAAAAACTCCATCAAACTACTAGACCGTACAAAAGAAGAAAAGAAAAGAAAAAGGGGGAGAGGAATGTTTTGCATGCCACTTTGTAGAAAATGCAGCAAGGTTTAAATGCATAATTTATGTCCCGCTCATAATTAAATGATGGAGCCTGCAGGATGGACTTTTAAAAAAAAATGATCTCTGCACTTTTCCCTCCCCTCCCCCCACCCCCCAATAAAAAGATGTACTGTAAAAATTGCCCAGAGTATTTAAAATAAAATGTGTTCCACTTTATACTCAAAGGTTTTTGTAGGGATTGAGAGTCTTTTTTTTTTCCTTTCTACCCTTTTTTTTTTTTTTTTGAAGTTTTAAAATTAGGTCTTGAAACAAAGGCAGAGGCTGATCAGCAGGTACAGGAAAATACAAGCCAGGGTCCACGTGTCCTTTGGCATCTTCTCTGGAAGAGTTCTCCCATCAGGGCTGGTCAACCCCAGGAGTGGGGACAGCTCAGCTCGACTTTGATAGATAGAAGCCTCACTAATTAGGGAAGCCCCCAAAACAAGGGCCTTCCTCAGGTGCCATGCAGGAGGGAGTTCGCTTCTGGCCAAAGTTTTGGGCTGGTGGGAGCCAAGGGAGCCCCCCCCCCCCCCCCCCCCGGGTTTTGTTGCTCTCTGGAGTGCCCAGTCCTGAAGAAGAAGAAAAGGAGCTTTTTGGGTGAGGGATGAAGTGGGAGATGAATCCCTACCCATATTAATCCTTGAGATCCCAGTGGAATTTCTCCCCCCACCGTTTTAAAATCAGTTGGTTTCTTTATAAATTATCATTTATAATCAATTTATTTATTAATAAAACATATTGCATGCTTGAATTTCACTGTCACAATTGCAGGATGGAATAGATATAGGA